ATAGGTTTTCTCTAAACAGCCATTACCAATCGGCATCAAAGTAATATATATTATTCAGACTTTGGTAAATATAAAGTAAGTATATTTTATATCGATCGTCAGAAGTAAGAAAGTGATAAGATAAATAATTTGAGCAAAACTTTATGCAACAACAACAAAAAACAATAATAATATGTTCTTGGTGTATGCTACTGTTATATCAAAAGCTAAATTTAAGGGAGGTTACTGTGTATACGAATACTTAATTATGATGTATTGTGAGCGTACTAGTTTTTGTGACTTTTACGCTACATCTTGCTTGCCCATCCAAGTCCACCGCTACAATGATATTATATGGTAATAAAGATATAATATGAAGATATTACAGATATTCAGCAATAAATAAAGGTGTTCAATTCGTGATGCAGTTGATACAATAGCCATAAAAACCTTCGTTTACGAAATGACATGTTTTATTTATTTATGTTTTTATTTCTTAAGCTTCTAGGGTCATTTATACCAGTTCTATTTTGTCTCTTTATAACTTTGGAATTAGTATTTACCATTCCACATGTTAACATCCGTCTGTTTCCTCCTTGTTTCATTAAGTGTAATCACGTAATCCTTACATGAATCTGACAGCATCTATTTGTATATATTATGAAATGTTTTAGCTTTTTCATTACAGTAAACTAAAAATATATTTTATATCAGCATATATTGATATGTGTGGTTGAGTGGTACATCTGTTTAACAAGCATGCCAAGGTGTTTATATTGGGAAGTGATACCAGGGTGAATATTTTGGGAAGTGATACCAGGGTGTATATATTGAGAAGTGATACCAGGGTGTTTATATTGGGAAGTGATACCAGGGTGTTTATATTGGGAAGTGATACCAGGGTGTATATATTGGGAAGTGATACCAGGGTGTATATATTTGGAGGTGATACCAGGGTGTATTTATTGAGAAGTGTAGCAGGGTGTTTATATTGGGAAGTGATACCAGGGTATTTATATTGGAAAGTGATACCAGGGTGTTTATATTGGGAAGTGATTCCAGGGTGTTTATATTGGATGGTATATTTGGGGTTTAACCTCCTCGCAACAGCCAGGGTCATTTGGGACGGGTGCTTAGGGAGACACTGCCTGAAGCAAACAGAAAGTAGATAAAAAAGAATTAAGACGGGGAAGATAGGAAACGAATAAAGATAAAGTGTTGCAATAGGGGCAGCAGATTAATTTTGGTCTCTTCCATGTCCCCCCGAAGAAGACACGGAGATAATCCCCGATTCTGCAGGGCCCCCAACATTAGTCGCCTTTTGCGATACTGATGCAGTGGAATACAGCAATTCTAAAAAAAATCGACAAGGAAGTAGCAACACCCGATTCTGCAGGGGCTCCCACATAAGTCGCCTCTTACGATCATTTAGTGGGATATAGCAGGCCTAATCTTTCCACGAACTTGCACGGGTTGTGTTTATATTCGAAAGTGATACAGATGTTTTTGTGAGGTAAGATAAAAAATGTATGTATATAAAGATTATGAAATGTCAATACTTTTGATATGAATGTGATATATAGCTAAACTAGTTTATGCTTAGGATTTTATAATATTTCGTATCTGATTAAATTACTAAACCAAGGTTTAACATGTCTGAGGTGATATCATCCACGAAATTCCAGAGATCAGGCTTACTACAGAGAACACAAGCGAGCGTGACCTGTGGAATTTGGTGAAGTGTGTTGTCAATACTTTTGACATTCAGTGCCAAATGAGTAGGAATGTTGTTTATTTTAAGTGTGTATAGTGATAAGTTATCGAATATTCTTGTTAGTATATAACTGTTCCACCCGTTGACAGTATAGTGTAACCGAGAAGAATGCTGTGCTGCCTTTGGCATGTTTTTTTTAGTGAGGTAGCGAGTGAGTCGGCATCAGATCCACGCTATCACAAGGAGGCAAATACACCAACATACCCTGTCTCCGGCACACATACACACATGCACGCATACATAATACACATGTAGGCACGTCCTTAAATGACCTTAGTTGTTAATAGGACGTTAAACAAAATAAAACCAAACCAAACAATCATTGAACATTATTTGTAACTAAGATTAAATCCATTGACAGATTTTGAACACAGACAGGTAAATCAAAACTTACCACATCAGACACATCGAAGGTTCCGGCGTTATTCTGTACGTATTGTTTAATACATGTTAAGAACATTTAACTGAATATATGTTATCATATGTCATTTATGTTGATTTTATTGCCTTTGTTTAGTTTGGTTTTTAGGAAAAATAAAGATGATAAATATTTATATGAAGTGCCAGTATATTTACTGCATGAACACGAATGTCCTGTTTGAATAAAGCTGGTTTTTAATGCTTCCGCTAGGGGTCGAACCCCGGACCGCTGGCTTGCTTGTCCGACCCTTTTCCGAATGAGCTGAAGAGTTCCCCCCCCCCCGAAAAAAATGCGCAGTATTCCACCTATGTACTGTGTCTGAAATGTTTATTGGGTGGTCGGATGGCGCAGTGGCTAGCGCACTTGTCTTTCACTAAGGCGGCGGGGGTTCGATTCCCCGATCGGATGTGAAAAGGTATATGGTCATCTGCCCAACCGGGGTGGGGAAATCGGGGGGGGGGGACTTTCTTCAGCGACTCCTTAGAGTACAACTCCCCATTGAAACACTTTTTGCTTGTATCTTCTCTTCCACTTTTGCCTACCCTTTCTTTCTGCGGAACCCGTGCAGGTTCGGCGAAAGAAAAGGCTTGCTGTATCCTTTTAAATGATACTTAGAGGCGATTATTACACCTCTACTTTATTTACTCTATATAAAAGTAATTGGTTAAATCGAATACATCCCCACTTTTGCCTAAGTGTGTTTTAGTCCTGTGTGTTAGTCTGTGAAATAAAACACACCTACACTCGGGTGTTTTCGCCGAGCCAATCAGGCGAGTGTTTCCGCCGAGCCAATCAGGCGAGAGGTGGGTGGAGCTTGTTACCGAACTCGGCAGTGACGCGCGAGGTGGGCGGAGCTTGCTGCCGATCTCGTAAACATTTGGCTCCATTGCCATCAAAAGAGTATTTGGGACGTGAAGCTATACAGCTTATGGTTTACAAATATTTTCTAGTTAAAACTATCTCTCCAGTGTGTATCGGCTTCGCCTCGGGAAATAAACCTGGTCTCGGTACACCAGAAACTTGTTATATCCCTCAACCCCATACTCTAACTGTATAATAAGGTGCCCCTCCCCCCTGCAGAATCGGGAGTGTTTTCTTCCTTGTCTTCCATTTAGGGGACATTGAAGAAATCAAGAATAGACCTGCTGTATCTCGCTACGTGTGTATCGTAAAAGACACATAATGTGAGGACTACTGCAGAATCTATGAAGGGGACATGGAAGAGACCAGAATTCAGGCGGTGTCTTCCTAGGCACACGTCCTCATATGACCCCGGCTGTTGTGAGGACGTTTGACCCCAAACAAAACAAACAAACAAAACAACACAACCTTTTTTTTTATTTCCACCTTAATCTTCTTCTTTCTTCGGTGATGCCTCCCAATGTTTCCCGTCTTTATATGACCTGTTGCTAGGACATTAGAGCCTCGACAAAGAAACTGGACGATTTGCTACGTCATTATTACGTGAAACGACAATAATGATGATTAGTACATACCACTAACCCATCCTTGAACAGTCATGAGTTGTTACATTAAATTTGAACTTAAAGCATTTATTTTCAATTACTTTGGCAGACATTACTTCAAACTGGTCGATAGGTTAATAACATGACGTCACTGCATTCCCAATTATTCCATTAATTTATATCTGTTCCTTATTTGATTATATTCACCCACGCGTGTAGTTACTGCGTCATTCATGATAATGTAGCCCAGCTTCGTGTAATACTTAACCCTAGCAAGTTGTCCTGTGTGGCATACCATATGTGACGTTAAGGAAGTAAACAGCATCCTGTTTTCAATTAAAGCACTTAAAGGATAGTACAACATAAATGGGCGTTGAACTATAGTCTACATCGACATGTCGGTCATTTGTTTGAATTACGACAATATTTATGCAAGAGTTATATTGATCAATATATTGATCAATATTTGTTTATGATTTTATTGAAGAAGCCTGCACAAAGGAGAGATTTCCGTGTGACTCATTAATTTAAAGTTTATTTTTGCTCTGTCATCCGTCTGTCGTCGACTTTATCTAAAAACAAAAGGACTACTGACATGATATTGGACTGGTAGCTTCCTTTAATGGAGCTGAACAAAAAAATGCAAACAAAATTTACCTGTTCCTACTTTCAAGGTGGCAGAGGTCAAATACTTCAAACGACTTCTTTTAAAAAACCAAAAGGCGTAAGAGTCATGATATGAGGCTGGAAGATTCCGTGGAAGGAGCACTACAATGATTGTGACCAAAAATGTCTAAAGCTTCATATGTTCTTTTTAAGAAACAAAAGGTCTGGAGTCAGGATATGTTGCTGGTAGAATTCTGGGGTGGAGATTTACAATTAAGCAAACAAAAATGATATTTACTTACTTTTCAGTCACACAGGTAAAATATTTTAAAAAATATGAATGACACCATTTGAAAAACTAGAACGCATGGAGTCATGATATTGTTCTGGTAGCTTTCTAAGAATTCTAGCTATATCGTGTGACATTAGAAATTAGTGATTATCACATTACAGTTTATATTATATTGAAACAGACTGTATAAAATCTCACAGCAGTTAATTGTTCAGTCAATGTGTACTTATAGATACAGTGATATAAATCTATATAATCTTTTATATAGAAAAAAATAGATCTTACGACCAACTAAAAAAACAAGCTGCTTTCAATCTTTCACAGGTCTTTTTACAGTATATTTATATGTATAAGCATTGGAAATACATGTCTGCATGAAATTACTAAGCTTTAAAAACATTGATTTCCTTTTGATTTTTACCAATATACCTTATATAGATTTTTAAAACGGCAACATTGAGCTAAAAAATGAATATCAATCATAAATATGGAAAAAGTGATCAGATAATGCATTAAGACTGACTCCATATAATCTAAAAAATATAGTATCACCCCCGGAGTTCCGGATATAGAAAAGGCCTGTTGTATCACATTTTAATGAAAAGGGCGTCTAATATGGAGCCCCCCACCCCCTCCAAAATCAAAAGATCGAGTGTTTTTTATTCTGTCTTGAAAATAAGTATCTGCTACTCTCATCAAAACACTTTGGATCTATATACTTCCTGGTCTCACTTCCCTTCACTTTCGTTTTGTTGTTTCTCTCTTGGCATGCGTCTTAAATGACGTTGACTGTTGCTAGGAATTTCAATCCAATAATATGTGAAAAAAAAGTCAGTTGAGAATTGTGTTTAAACGCGGATGTTACTTAAATCTACGTTGTTATAATAGATTACTAAATATGGACGCACTATAATTCAGCCTGCTATTCTATCGTAAAAAACGGGAACTAATAAATACGTTTTCACGGAAAGTTTTCTAAATTCTGTGTATTTGTGTCATTTAATTAATAAATAAAATGTGTGACGTTACATCACCGATTATCCCCATACACTAAGTAGTATCCGGTATCCCGGATATCCGTCGAAAAGTATCTCTCTATACTCCAGTCGATTGGCTCAGTGCGTGTACAACGTTTGTTTCTCACTAAGTACATCTAGGTCTTCTCTCAACACAGACGCGTGCAAAATATCACAACTTCACCAAGACAAACATGTCAACTGATTCCGTGTAAGCCCTGTAATTTGTCGGATTTTGGCAGTCGCTGTTGTCATTATTGTGGATGTCACAGCTGCTGGTGTGGTGGATTGTAAAACAATGGCGATATTTTCAAACTTTTGTAGTGTCAACGCGTCTCAAATATATAAATATATGCTTTTGTATATAATTTCAGGTTATTCCGATTGGCTACCAAAAGGTTTGTCAAATCGATTGGTGGACCAAACTTACTTCCGGTGCCTAACGTCACTGCCGGTAATTTGCTGTCGCCGCTTGGTATCGTCGTGAAGAGACCAACGAAGAAATGGTTTCGGCGAACTAAATATGATTACTCAATCAGACAAACAAATGTATGTATTAATAACGTTAATTGATTACATGTTAATAAAATGTTTTTACATATCATATATATTACGAAATATACACTAATTACGTAAAAATGTACATCAATTACCTTTTTGAATAATTTTATATAAACCAATATAATATTCATTACAAGTTATGAAGATATTAGAAAGAGGGACTACTACAAAACGTTTAGGATAAAATCACATTTCTGTATCCTTACGTTTATCTAAGAGCGAGCAATATCACTGTGATAGTGACAGTGAAACTCAATGTCAATGCCGATCTTCTTTGTTAATTCGTAGTTTATTATAAAGTTAGGTATTCCGTCTTTGCGTATTGCAGAGTTATCTTCTCTTGGGAGCAAGTATTGATTGTTACGTCATTGGTCTGTGTGAAAAAATTACGTCGTTTTCTCAAATATTGATGACGTTTCTCTCACAAACAAGTGACGTAACAATCAATACCTGCTCCAAATAGAAGATAACTCTGCAATACGCAAAGACGGAATAAAGTATATTATGTCTTTATACATTTATCTGTTGATCAATATCGTCTTTATTTTAAATAGATCACCAACTTGCTTGAGGATAAATCTGATTTGGATGTAGAAATGTCCGAAATCCCACATGTTCTCAACTGTAGAAGTTCTGATTGCACTACTGTAGAAGCCCGTACCGGATTAAGTGTCTTGAAAACGTTTTTTGCAAGTTGCAAAATCATTAGATATAAATGTCACACCTTTACCTCCGGCAGAACGAAGACAAAAAATGTAGCGAAAAGGCATCTAATGGAAGCCTTAAAGAACAGGTAAGTTTTTTTCAAGGATTTTGGTATTTGATCATTTTTTTTTTCCATTTTTTTTGCATATCGATATAAAAGTTATACTTTATTGTTGTTGCTGTAAAAATAATATGCTTGAGCAGTTTCTAAAGCGGCGACTTATGTGGTGACCCCCTGCAGAATTGGGAATTTGCATTTGTGCCCTCTACTTCAGGACACCCCATTACTTCCTCACTTGTCTGTGTTTTTCGTCTCTCTGCTTTCTCCTTCCGGCAATGTTTCCCGAAGGCACCCGTCCTCAGGTAAACCGGGCTGATGTGCGGACGTTTCACCAAAAAAAACACTTTCTTGAAAATGTAATGTGATTCATTCCATTACGTTACAGAAAAATTGACGTGAATGATTTGGAGATCCGACAGATATTACAAGCTTGTCGGGATTCCGTCCTATGTGTTGTTGTTAGTGTTATACGAACGACAGAACGGATGGATATAACAGAGGAAACGAAAACTGAAGTAGGCGGAGATTTGAAGGTAAGGATTTTATATAATTCTGTTGTCAACGACAGGAGTTTCTCATGGAAATGCTTATTTCTATTTCGTTAAACGTACCAGCGGAAAATTCCCACTTTGCTTATCCTTAACATAAGAATGTTAAGAACAAATTTATTTTGATCACAAAAACACTGTTCAAGTCGTGCTTCTACCGTTTGCTTTCTAGTCTATTGTGAACTTTGCTTTCGGCTTCGTGTGTTTGCTATTGTTTCATTATATAAAAATGGGGGTAGGGAAAACCCGATAGTAATAGTCTCAAAAGACGTCATACATTACTACCCATATATATAGTACCTAGTCAAGCACGGACAATCAAATGGATACACGTGAATACAATTTTACAAAAGCACATCACAAAATAGAAACAAAATAAACAACATCTTCATTATGGATGTCTTGACAGTCCGACTGAACAAGGTATAGCGATAGTTTCAAATGAATATTTTCGCACTGGAGAGGTGAGCGAGAATTTAACATTATTTAGATTTTAAGTAAGGTGCATGGATATACTTTTACATTTTTAGTCCGTCCGTCCGTTAACTTTTCCTTTCAAACGCTACAAGTTCTGAAAGGCCAAGAAGATTTTGACTAAATTTGGTCTGGAGCATCCTTGGGACAAGGGGACTCAATTTTGTATAAACCGTGGGTCTGATTCCCCTGGGGGCTTAGGGGCGGGGCGGGGCGGGGCGNCCCTGGGGCTGAGGGGCGGGGCCCAATATGGGAAATATAGCAAATTCTTTAAAATCCTTCTCCTTCTGTAGGAATTAAAGGATTTGTACCATATTTGGTCTGAAGCATCCTTGGGTGAAGGGATTTTTTTTCTATAAATGGTGGGTCTGGCCACCCTGGGGGCTGAGGGGCGAGGTCCAATAGGGGAAATATAGCAAATTCTTTACAATCCTTCTTCTTCTGTAGGAATAAAAGGATTTGTTCCATATTTGGTCTGAAGCATCCTTGGGTGAAGGGGAACCAATTATGTATAAATCGTGGGTCTGGCGTTCAGGGGCCTGAGGGGCGGGGCCCAATAGGGGAAACATAGCAAATTCTTTAAAATCCTTCTTTTTCTGTAGGAATGAAAGGATTTGGTCTGAAGCATTCTTGGGTAAAGGGCAACCAATTTTATATAAACCTTGGTCTGGCACCCCTGGGGGCTGATTGTCGAGGCCCAATAGGGGAAATATAGCACATTCTTTAAAAAACTTCTTCCTCTGTAGGAATGAAAGGATTTGGTCTGAAGCATCCATGGGTGAAGGGGAACCAATTTTGTATAAACCGTGAGTTTAGCCCCCAGGGGCCTGAGGGGCGGGGCCCATAGGGGAAACATAGCAAATTATTCTTTAAAATCCTTCTTCTTCTGTTGTAGGTGTAAAAGAATTTGGTCCATATTTGGTGTGGAGCATCCTTGGGTAAAGGGGAACCAGTTATGTATAAACAGTGGGTGTGGCCCCCCTGGGACCTGAGGGGCGGGGCCCAATAGGGGAAATAGAAGTAAAACCTTTATAATCCTTCTTCTACCATAGGGATTAAGGGATTATATCCTAATTTAGTCCGGAGCATCCTTGGGCAACAGGGACTCAAGTTCGTATAAACACCGAGTGTGCGATACAGGCCCTCTGGGCCTCTTGATAATGTTTAATCTGACATCTTCTACATTTGCTGGTGTTCAGATTGACTTGCCCGATGGTAAAGGGGAACTGTCATTCGGAAGGGGAAAAAAGAACTTCCCGGAACTTTCCATAAACCCAACAGTCCTAGCGTACGATGTGTGCGAGTTAGAGGTTGACATGACAACAGGGGACATGACTGTGCTGTTAGACCCTGAATTACGCGGTGGATTCATCAATTTTTGCAGTACGCTAGATGGTAAATATATAAGGTTTTTCACTAGGCTGATAGGGGTGGATTCGTCCCGTACCGGGCAATAATCTGTAAAACAAATATTAGTGAAAAACGTTTCCATCTGTTGCTATAATCTTTGTTAAGCTCTTAACATTGTCATGATACCAATTTAAGAAAAATATATGCCTGTAACATTAATAGACTACTATGAATAGCAAAGTTTCACCAGTTAAACCGTGAAAGAAACAAACGCAAGAAAATGTGTAGTTTTCCTACTAGTATCTCAATGAGATATATTCATATTTTATTGTAGCAAACGTTCTCGAAATATTGAAACACACGAGCTTCTGCAATGCGATTTAAAACTTATGAAATAAAAAAAAATATGTTAGAAATAACATAATTCATCATATCATCAGATAAAATTAACGGTATAGGAAGTTTTCAAGTTATTCTTACATCTTTGATCTGCATTATCGCATGAAGATAAATACGGCCACATAACACCTCCAGCACAAACGCATTCTTAACACACACAGAGGCATGTCCACCAGATGACTAAGCTGAAAGGTCAATAGGACGCTTAATCAAATTATCCAAAAATCAAATTTTACTTTTTAACGGTTACTATGGAATTCTATATCTAACCGACAGTCTGTGAGTTTATAACGGGAGGACCATCTGAAAACTACATGCGTTCCCTATACGAAACATTAAAAGAAATGACGTCTGAAGAAAGGAACATCGTCAGGGAGGTGGTAAGGACAACAGCTGATGACGCGGATATCATTTGCCAAATTGTGAGTGCATTATTTTCTTTAATAAAGGCCTTTTATATGTCATGTCATTTTACTGTAAAACACATTTAAATCAAATTTTCGACAAATGCATGACTGGTTCTGTGATGTAACAACAATGAAAAGTCTGCTTGATGCGATTTTGTGCCATCGATGGATGATTATTTAGATTCCATTAGTTTATGCAAAAATACATGATATCAGGTTTTATAACCATTTTGTTTCCTATTGGCATTTTTTGCACATTTCCGACTTAAATCTTTAATTTTAATTTGATGTTTTAGTGTTGTTTGGCCCTAAATGACTTATATTGTCGATGTGGTTTAGACAATAAAAAAAACCCCATCGATGAGCTATTATTTGATTATGGAAATTTATAGATAGGATAATTATTCTACATTTTATTTTTTCCCTACCTAGCTCTACCAAAGGAACAACTACCAAGACAGCGATGAATCAGGACTTGAAAAAGGCCTAAGGGGCCCGTTATGGAGCAGGAGCAATTCTTCTTGCTCATCAACCTCCGATTCGACTGGTTACGACACTGATAGAACATTACAATCAAATGATGACGAAACACTGCCAATTCAAACAGTAGGTTTTGATTTCTCTTTATCCCCCTAATATTTCGAGTTTCTTCTTTTCTCACTGGTGTGCTAGGTAAGACCATTTGTGTGGTAATGGCCGATGGCTGTTCTATAAATTGAAATTGCAAGAATAGTTTTACATATTAGCAAGAGAATTTACTTGGATATTGGTCATTTTAAATTCGTGCATTTAGATATGAGAAGTGGAACAAGTGAGACAAATGAGTAACCCCTTAGCAGAAATAGGGATTTGCTTTCTTCCACTATACTTAGGGACAAAAAAACCTAACAAGTTATTTGGCTGTACAATTGCGACATTTCGTATTTTTCATTTTTTGTCTACTTTTAGTAATATTTGGATTTCCTAGTGCCTTGCCTATTATTATCTCACTATTTATACGGCCGTTTTGATTTTGAAAAAACTTGGTTAACTGAGGATAAGTTAATCGGTTAAGCAAAACCCGCGCATAACAAAGTATCATACTGCGTTTTGATTGGTTGGCGGACTCTGCACAATGACATATGAATATGGAGGAAGGAAATCAATTCGTATGCAAATCATTTGTTAAAAGACTAATGTATATAAAATTATTCGTTGACCTTAAACTGGTCAGGTACAGTATGTTTCTCCTTTAGCCCAAGTGGGGCCCAAGGCACTCGATTCAGTTTCCAGGCCGGGGTATACCAGCATCCTTAAAATGGTATTCATTGTCAAACGTTCCACATTTAGGTAATCGCAACAACTGGTTACCCTGTTGTATGCACAATGAGACAGAGATCCTTTATGCCTTCGGCATGGTATTAAAAGGAGGTAGCACTGCAGTATCCGATACGCGATTTTACAAGGAAGCAGATATACCGATTTATCTCTTCAAGCACAAACGCATGCATTACACACACACAAATGTAGGCATGTCCTTAAATGAACTTAGATGTGAATGGGACGCTTAAATCTAAGAACCGATATGTAAAAACCAATAGATAAGGTTACAAATTTGTTTTGGTTTATTTCCTTAGCCTCGCCCGGCTAGCTTCTACGAAGATGACGATGATTCAGGCTCAGATATGTGTCCTCCGGACTTGTTTGAAAGTATGAGCAATTCTTCGTGCTCAACGACTTCGGGTTCGTCTGGTTGCCCCTCCGAGCCCGCATCACCAACAAATGATGACGTCACATCGCCAATTAAAACCGTACGTTTATTGACATTCTTACCTTATTTCTTTCATTTTTTCAATTTTCTTCCTCCAAAAATATTTATAAGAAGACTGCCGGGGTTTTGGACCCACGGTTTCTGATTCTTTTTTATTTAGCGTCCTCGTACATGCAGGCTCTCTGAATACTAAATTACAAACATGTAATAAAAAGTAATTATCTGTATACTTTCATTCGTTTCTGTCCGAGTCTCTCATTCTATGAACATTTAAATTAATATATCTAGTTGAGCTCATTACTTGAATTTGCCCTGGTGTGTTGACGCTGTGTGATACTATTTTTCTGTGTTACTGTTTACCACTTGTTGTGACAGTTCGGTTCCTTCTGCGGTTATTCGTGACTCTTTGTTATTTATTTCTTCCAGTCGTCGACTGACGTATCGATTGTGTCCCTGACAACAAAACCACTGGCTTTCCGGAGACTGCTGCAACAAGTCCTAGGATGGGGCATAATGGTAAGAACTCGTTACTACCGGGTAGCAAAGGTAACAACTTTATTGAGTCTTTCAGTTAAAGAAAACAAGATATTTCATTTAAACACATTAATAGCTTCTCTTTTGGCAAGTTACTTAATCTCTATTGTGGCAGAAAGCGTAAATGTTAATCCCTCTTACAACATAATTGTGTTTCTATGATACATTCATATTTAAATGTTCTCTTTGATGTTGACAATGCACGCGATGTAATATTTTCACGGATGCAATATTTACATTTTGATGATATTTTACAGGAAAATGGCACCATGATTCAGCCAAATGACAAAAGTCGTATGGATTTGTTTGAGTGTTTCTTCGTGTTACTTAAAAGACTACACCAAGAAAGGACTGACGTCTTCGAAACTATTTCATCTTTATCATCCGAGACACGAAACGTGTTATGGGAAGTGGTAGGTTCCCTTTTTTAATCCTTTTACTACATTTACCTTGGTAATATGACGTCGTGACGTCAGCATATCATTGTCCCGTAACTCTTTAAGGTTTCTACATTCGTAGGTACTCTGTTGGGATGTCGTAATACTGTGTTAAGATTATGCCAGTTCAGTGGGATTGCTCTTTGAATGTTTTATCATTTGTGAACTTGACATCGTCTTCAAATGACATCGCTGATGCAAGGGAGCAAAATCCTGCATGATTAATATATTCATCACTGTATGACGTCACCACTATATACATGTAACCCTTCCGAGATGCTCCATTCGACCGGAATAAATAATAGGCAAAACAATTCAATCAATGTTTTTTCTTAACAACTTCTTATTTCGTCGTTTCCTACCGACACTCTTGTATATTATGTTATTTCNCCTGTCCTCATCTGACCTTAGCTACTGCGCGGACGTTAAACTACTGAACTAAACATATCCAAACTTGACTTGTTTGTAGCATAATTCCGTACAGTTTAAATTCATCTATCATAACGGCATTTTCAGTAATGGTTCTCGCAACAATTTTTTACTCATAAACGTTACTAGGAGTAATAGCATAAAGCACATGTAATAACGTTCAGACTGTTATTCTGTAGTATAATATTGTGGATAAACAGGGGGAAATGTGATGTACGTGTAAGACTTCTTCATGGCAAACACTTCTCTGTCCCTAATTCCCTTTCCTCTTACTTGTAGTATCGTCAGAAGTTCGTCCCACGCGATGAGGACAGGAGTGAAGACAGGAAACGCCAACTGTGTGAGGAAGTCAAGAAGCTTGAGAAGATTGGAAATGACATAGAAGAGTTCACCAAGATGGAACAACTGGTTGAATACGTAGAAGAAAGAAGCTACACGAGATGTGCTATATTCTCCATGCTTCTTGCTTTATCATGAGTCGTAATACTCGTATTGGGTAAATGAAATCTATCTGGATTCGCTCCAACATAGTAGGAAGTGACTAGCGACCCACTTCTGGCACTGTCCTGATAGGAATTAATCTGTGGGAAAGTCGTATGACAAGTTATGACTGTGTATTTTGTTTCCATCTTTTACCTATATTCGTTCTTTGTCGTATGACAAGACATGACTTTACTGTTTCTGAACTTTCAGTAATTAATTAACTAACTAACGAGACTAGGGTCTGGCTCTACCATGATGAGTATCTAGTACACACTTCTATTCTGATTAGAGACTGAAAGGTCGACTTGTTCAAATTTCAATTTTTGTTGTTGACAAGACATGTAACAAACTGCAGAAGAATACCGAAGTTAAAAATATGAACAAAGGAATGTCTTTCCAGGGAAGAGCATTGAAGTACAAGAAGTTTAATCATTTGCGCCCGGTTTTTCAGTCTAACCAACCTAAATATATCATATTTGTCCGTCTGTGAATACTGCCCATACACTAATACATAAACTTAAATAATTCAAAAGAGAAAACACAGAGCAGATCCACACAATGTTTTTACATTGTTCTCATTAACCTCACAAGGTTGATCAAATAGTCCATAATCTCGAATCCATTAGCAAGTGTTAACATAATTGCTAAAGGGGAAGCAACTCTTAGTGTGTACTATTGTTTGGGAGAGAAAATAGTAATATAATAAAGGTTTCATTTATGACATAGGACTAAGACCACAACAAATTTTACTATGTTTCATTGTAATATTTGATTTCATAAAAACCAATTCCCAATACTTGATAGCCAACTTTCGATCTAACCTGGTCAAGAGCAACATCTTGGGAGTAAAATATTAAGGTTTCAACATAGCATGTTTGCCTTTTTCTTGAGATAATCTTATAATATACACAAAACTTCATTCACGTTGTATACTGGGGTTAAATCCATTTCAAAAAAAAAATTGTCAGTGGAACCAACCCATTCACTCACTCATCCCTGAAATTTCATAATGAACAATTCCAACCTTTGAATTGGAAGAGTTCAAATGTGTCTTTAGGGGTGAACGAGTTAAAATGCAGAACTGATCGTCAGATTAAGTGTATTTTTACATAAGATATGACCATCAATGTGATAACGGAGTCCGAATTGTCAAAATTTGAGAAAGTAAGAGTTGCTTACAAAGTGTTAACAAATAGGTTTTCTCTAAACAGCCATTACCAATCGGCATCAAGGTTATATATATTATTCAGATTTTGGTAAATATAAAGTAAAGATATTTTATATTTTCATAACAATAAACTAAAAATATATTTAAAATCAGCATATATTGATATGCGTGGTTGAGTGGTGCATCTGTTTAACAAGCATGCCAAGGTGTTTATATTGGAAAGTGATACCAGGGTGAATATATTGGGAAGTGATGCCAATGTGTTTATATTGGAAAGTGATACCAGGGTGAATATATTGGAAGTGATACCAGGGTGAATATATTTGGAAGTGATACCAGGGTGTATATATTGAGAGGTGATACCAGGGTGTTTTTATTGGAAAGTGAGTCAGGGTGTTTATATTGGAAAGTGATACCAGGGTGTTTATATTGGAAAGTGAAACCAGTGTGTTTATATTGGGAGGTGATAACAGGGTGTTTATATGGGGAAGTGATACCAGGGTGTTTATATTGGAAGGTGATACCAGGGTGTTTATATATTCGGAGGTGATGCCAGGGTGTTTATATATTCGGAGGTGATGCCAGGGTGTTGATATTGGAAAGTGATACCAGAGTGTTTATATTGGAAAGTGATACCAGGGTGTTTATATTGGAAGGTGATACCAGGGTGAATATATTGGAAGTGATACCAGGGTAAATATATTTGGAAGTGATACCAGGGTGTATATATTGAGAGGTGATACCAGGGTGTTTTTATTGGAAAGTGAGTCAGGGTGTATATATTAGGAAGTGATACCAGGGTGTTTATATTGGAAAGTGATACCAGGGTGTTTATATTGGGAAGTGAAACCAGGGTGTTTATATTGGGAGGTGATAACAGGGTGTTTATATTGGGAAGTGATACCAGGGTGTTTATATATTGGGAAGTGATACCAGGGTGTTTATATATTGGGAAGTGATACCAGGGTGTTTATATATTGGGAAGTAATACCAGGGTGTTTATATTGGGAAGTGATACCCGTGTGTTTATATTGGATGGTTTATTTGGGGTTTAACCTCCTCGCAACAGCCAGGGTCATTTGGGACGGGTGCTTAGGGAGACACTGCCTGAAGCAAACAGAAAGTAGATAAAAAAGAATTAAGACGGGGAAGATAGGAAACGAAAAAAGATAAAGTGTTGCAACAGGCTAGGGGCAGCAGATTTAATGTTGGTCTCTTCCATGTCCCCTCCGTAGAAGACACGGAGACAATCCCCGATTCTGCAGGGGCCCCACATTAGTCGCTTTTTGTGATACTGATGCAGTGGAATACAGCAATTCTAAAAAAATCGACAAGGAAGTAACAACCCCCGATTATGCAGGGGCTCCCATATTAGTCGCCTCTTACGATCATTTAGTGGGATATAGCAGGCATAATCTTTCCACGAACTTGCACGGGTTGTGTTTATATTCGAAAGTGATACACATGTTTTTGTAAGGTAAGGTAAAAAATTTATGCATATAAAGATTATGAAATGTCAATACTTTTGATATGTTGTATATAGTGTGTATATGTATGTACATATATGAATGTGATATATAGCTAAACTAGTTTATGCTGAGGATTTTATAATATTTCGTATCTGATTAAATTACTAAACTAACATGTCTGAGGTGATGTCATCCTCGAAATTCCAGAGATCAGGCTTACTACAGAGAACACAAGCGAGCGTGACCTGTGGAATTTGGAAGATGAGGTGAAGTGTGTTCTGTGCCAAATGAGTAGGAATGTTGTTTATTTTAAGAGTGTATAGTGATAAGTTATCGAATATTCTTGTTAGTATATTTAGTGTAATTGACAACTGGTCTTTCAGTGAGGTAGCACTATAGAGTCGGCATCAGATCCACGCAATCACAAGGAGGCAAATACACCAACATACCCTGTCTCCGGCACACATACACACATGCACGCATACATAACATACATGGAATCACGTCCTTAAATGACCTTAGTTGTTAATAGGATGTTAAACAAAATAAAACCAAACCAAACAATCATTGAACATTATTTGTAACTAAGATTAAATCCATTGACAGATTATGAACACAGACAGGTAAATCAAAACTTACCACATCAGACACATCGAAGGTTCCGGCGTTATTCTGTACGTATTGTTTAATACACGTTAAGAACATTTAACTGAATATATGTTATAATATGTCATTTATGTTGATTTTATTGCCTTTGTTTAGTTTGGTTTTTAGGAAAAATAAAGATGATAAATATTTATATGAAGTGCCAGTATATTTGTTGCATGAACACGAATGTCCTGTTTGAATAAAGCATGTTTGTTAATGCTTCCGCTAGGGGTCGAACCCCGGACCGCTGGCTTGCTTGTCCGACCGTTTTCCGAATGAGCTGAAGTGTTTTTTTCCCACCAAAATGCCCAGTATTCCACCTATGTACTGTGTCTGTAATGTTTATGGGGTGGTCGGATGGCGCAATGGCTAGCGCACTTGTCTTTCACTAAGGCGGCCGGGGTTCGATTCCCCGATCGGATGTGAAAAGGTATATGGTCATCTGCCCGACCGCGTGGGTTTATCTCCTGGAACTACGGTTTCCTCCCACATTCAGACCCCCGCGGGCTAACAACCGGGCCAACAAGAGTCACTTATATAAGTTAAAATAACTTGTTTCATAATAGTTGTAAAACAAATTACAAAGAAGGGAAAAAGAGGCGGACATAAACATAAACATAAACTTTGAATGTGTTTGTCCGACCACAACCACGCAGAGGTACTGACTATTGAACATTTTACACTGAGGGCGGTAATGGTGGGGAGGATGTAAATAGGTGATAATTAAAAGAACACAAACGTGTGTTTTAAAACAGGAACAAAATAATCAAGTTTAAACAAAACTAATAAAAAGTATGTGCTACTAATCTAGTGAGAGTTTGGATGGAGAATGCAAGAGGAGGACACTTGTTTGGGGGTTTGAATTAAGAGACGTTGACCTCTGGCAATCCCAAAAACACCGTTATGTATAGGTTTGATATAAATAGGTAGTGACAGTGAAAGCGTATACATGTGATAGCACCAATACAATACTTAATGGTTGATCAGTTTATTTTACTTGTTTTTATATTATTTATATGAATTTAGACGGAAATAAATACTCAAATAGTAATATGTCGTTTGTTGAAACTTATTCTGATAACGAGGTACTATTAATGTCAGTCAGTATAGAAGAGGTTTTTCAATTGGAATTGCTTGCTTATGTACTTTAAAGAAGAGTAAAATTCTTTTTTTTTACAAAATCATCTCCGCTAATAATAATAATAATTTGAGGTTCTTATATACCGCTTTATCACAACCTAGTTAGTAGGTCGTCTCAAATGCGGTTCACACATTATTATCCGTGGTTATAGGTGCTAACTGTAATCAATTCCCAAATCTCTTTATTATAAAGTAGAAAGTTCAACTTTGTTTGTTATGCTTATTCTTTGCTGTAAAATTACTGGGATATTTAACTAAATTGTTTTTGGGTTAAATATTGAGGAAGCAACTTAAACTGAAGGATGATTGTACCAATACTGAACACTGTATCTATGAATCAGAAACGTTTCACCTACAGGACAATTGCTTTGATTAATCATTTCTGAAAAGAAATCTAAACCTTGCAGAATTCTTTTGAAAAAATAATAATATGGTCAATTAAGCAAAAAAAAAGGAGACCAAAAACAATCTTCCAATAGTAAAGTTGTAACAGGGTCAGAGCGGGATTCAAACCCCTAACCTCCCATCACAATACGGTCCCTCCAACCCATAGAGCTACCTGGTAAATATAGTTCCAGGCCCACCTCGATAGTTATACCAAAAGCGAAATTCTTTGGAGGCTATTTTATATTTGTAAAACTACAGTGGAATTCTCTGGTTTTGTTTTGTTTTGTTTTGTTCAACGTCCTTTTAACAGCTAAGGTCATTTAAGGACATGCCTCCATGTGTGTAGTGTAGGCGTGCTTGCGTTTGTGTATGCAGGAGACAGGGTATGTTGGTGTGCTTGCCACCTTGTGATAGAGCAGATCTGATGCCGACTTTATAGTGCTATCTCACTGAAATTTCATGCCGAAGGCGTCCAGCACAGCATTCCTCCCGGGTACATTATACTGATAACGGATGAACCAGTTGCTTAACGTTCAGCATTTAGGGAATTCTCTGGTATTTTACCTGCAAAGGGACATATTTACATTAGAAAAATGGTGAAACTATCTACCTTATTGCCAGCAGCGTAGCTACCTTAGGCTCGAATCGGCACGTACCTACACATTATATTTGTCAATTTTTTTTATTTTTAGTCAGCGTTAATTAATAAAATTGAAAGATTGAACGTGTGTTTTCACTAAAATAAA